TTAAAAATTAACATTTTAAATACATGTACAGTTCTTCACTGGCCTACTAGCCTGTTCCAAAGAGTAATCAGACAGACAATGACAACTTTTCTGCACTGGTTTGAAAGGTTTAAAGCCACGGATTTCCCAAGGCTTACCTACTTTCCTTGTTTCACAGCGTTCTCTATATCTGTGGTCTGCTACCTCGTATACATCCTTTCTATCTCTCCTATTATTCCTTCTTTCTGTCTATCTTTGCCTCTACCACATTAACCCTGTTTTGGGGTTTTGATTTAGTTTTTTGTGTTTTTGTTTTTGTTTTGTCTTTGGTTTTCCTTTGACGACGTTTGTTCCGTTTTGTTTTGTTTTTGTTTTTTGGGGAGATAATTTTTTTCCCCGTCTTTTGATGGCCTCTTACACCTTTCTGCCAATCTTTTGTCTACCGCGTGTGCCGCGTTACTTTTCTTCCGCCTACCACTCGTGCTTTCCTTCTGTCTATTTTTGTCTACCGCTTGCACCTTCTTACAGTCTTTTCTTCTGTCTACTGCCTGTACTGACTTTTTTCCCCTTATTTTTTAAAACATGTTTACCTCTTATACTACTACTGTCCCCTCTCTTTTTTTCTAACCTTTTTACCTTCTGTGTGTCTTCTGCGTGTCTACATTTTGTTGACCGCTTATACTTTCTTACTTCATGTATCTTTTTTCTATCTTCTGTTGTACCTTCTTAACTTCCTGTCTTAAGTTTATACATCTTTCTGTCTATCCGTATATGGTTTAAAATTTCTTTTTGCCCTCTTTTTGTCTTCCCCATGTACCTCTGTCTGTCTCTTATACTTTCGCTCTGTCTGTCTTTTGTCGTTCACGTCTACCTCTGTCTGCCTCTCATATCGTCTTTCTGTCTACCATTAGTGTACAGCGTATTCCTTCATTTAAAACTTAATTTATGAAGTGCCGTTGTGATATTTGGTCCTGCTTATTCATAATAGTCTTAATAATATATAACAGTTATATAGCGCTTTTCCAAAAAAGTAGCTCAATGCGCTTTACATAGGAATACCCATCTTGGGTTCATAATGGGATGTGCATACTGTGATCCAATGTGCTAGCATGCTGTGATAGAATGATTGTTTGCTTATATGTTAGCGTTATTCCAAACAATGTATATTTGTGTGTTTTTCCACTTGCAATGAGTTTTCAGATGAATATATTATAAAACGCTTTTAGAACAGTATTGTATGGGAGT